GGCCATAATTATGCTTACATAAGTTTTTTTTTTGGTTCTCCTATTCCCTTCCCCTTGGACCTAAGATCAAGATCTGAACATCAGTGACTAACTAGTGTAAAACAAGACAACAAATGGCTACATGGTCAAAAGAGCACTATCAGTGGACTGGTGGCCTTAGCTAAACTGCATTGGTTTGATTTGACTGTCTGAAACAGTCATATGACCCACAAGTGTTAGAACCTCCATTTCCTGTCACTGTCATCCCTTCTGTATGGATGAGTGAAACCACTTGTTTTTCTTCAGTCCTACAGTGTTTTTGATCTATTGAATATCTTCTGTGGCACTTCGCTTAACAGATAAATTAAGCCATCTTACTAATTGTTATAAAAGGGACATGACTTGTTCATAAACCATGTTAAGAGCTCTCTGCTAAAGCAGCTCTCTGCTATGACTCTAACCATAAGTATGTTTTGCACAAGCGGCAGAAACCCCAGCCTCCCCCATAAAATTTCCAAAAGAGTAGAATTAGACAGTGTATCAATGTAAATTCATTGTATTTGTGGTTAAAAGTGTAATCCATCTTACTAATTGAACAACTGCACTGATCATTTGACGGAAGTTGCTTTGGACAACATATATGTTACTTTTCCCTTTGAAATCAGGATAAATACAGCCCACAGCCAACATAGCCGGTTGACGTTATGCTTCAATGGAAGTCTATGGAAGACCCTTGTAAACTTCATCTAAATGGAGAATAGACAAAAGCTTATTGTTTAATATGCTCTGATTACGTGATTTCAGAGCCCAGACGAGTCTACGGGAGCCTCAGACATAGATTTTGCTTAGGCGATGTTGACTGGATAGATAGACTCAGTCAAATATTTTAGAACACCTGGAAGGCACGTTTCTCTGCACAAGAAAGGATTAACTTCCCAATAACATCGACGCTCATAGTGTCTGTAGTGTTAGCTTGCAGTATTCATTCATTCTGTTGCATGCAGGTACACAAAGGCATTACATTGAAACCTGGCGAGACAGTTCGTTTTATATGTCATCTTTAGCCACTGGCATTTGTAAATATTATAAATAAAGTTGTTGTGATTGGGTTTTGAGTTTGATCGTTTGTTTCATTTTCAAGTTCAGTGATTTTTAGTAGACTGGTTAGTTAGCTTGCTAACTAAGCTGTGTGTTTGTTCAAGCTGAGCTAGAGGCTTTGAAGTGTGGTAGACGTGGCAGCTGATCTTGGTGACTTCATTCTAAAGTCCTTTGATGAAGCAGAGCAGAATTAGCGTGTAAGTAGCTAGCCAGCTAAAATACCTGATTACCAAGGTATTCCCGCACGCTGCTTCCCCCATTTTAGAAATCACCATCCACCATGTCACATGATTTGCTTTTTTCACCCCTAAAATTGGATTTAAAGACAATGTTTTAACCTTAGCTGAAGTTAGTTGAAATGATTGATTAAAATGCCTTGTAAACACACTCGGATACTAATTCCAATTATTCCATAGTAGTGTGAAACAATAATGGTTAAAACTTATTTTAACCCGTCGGGGTTTCTGTTGTTTACCTACCCTAGATCACAAATTTTCATTAGCCTCCCTGCAGCAGGACTGCTCCCTTGTCCTGTTATTAGAAAGGTTTATTGAATATTGCTCTGACTGTACCCTCCTTAATGTTGCTCTGTGGTACAGTATATCAAATTTTAGATACATTAGAGAATTTCTCCAGGGTTAGGGCAATGTATGTAGCTGAGTAAATTCTGTGTAACATGGACTCTTATAGACATCCTGGTTTTCTTATAGTGAAGCTGGAGTTTAAAAGCCTGTGTACATGCATGCATAAATATTGAGTTTTCATAGAGAAATGGATGGATATCTATGTGGAAAAACTAAGAAATTCTATGTGTAAACTGCAGCTTACACATAGGGTATGTATTACACAGCCAATGCATACCTTCATTTTATGGGTTTAGAAGTTGTACATATGCGTGCTGTCAAGCAATGTTCCTTAACAACAGTATATGGAAGTTCGTCATTTTCTTATCGTTGAAACTTTATATGACAGTAAGTCGATATATCATTTATATCGCCCAGCTGCACAGTGTGCTGCGTAGCGTTGTGAACAAGGAGTAATTTTTGAAGAACTTTTTTGCTTATTTAGCATAGGTAATTTCATTGTTAAAGATTATATCATAATGTAAGTCTTCCTTCAGAAATATAATTATGATACCTGTGTTTGTGCCCTGTGCTGCACTGTGCTATGATGCAGGGTGTCTCCTGTCTTGTGCGCTGTGCTGCCTAGGGTAGGCCCCAGGCTAGCACCGTACCTGTGTGCGGGATCAGTGGCTATGGCGGACAGATATTCAGCATTTTTTCAGGCTTACACATCTATTCCCCCAGCCATTTTCCATGTATCAACTTATGGTTTCTGTGATCCTGAGCCTTATGCTAAGAAACAGAAGGCAGAAGCAGGGTTTACTCTGGACATATCTGTAAATCAAAGTCTTCTTTTACAGCTCTCTTATGGCTCAGGCAGGACTGGAAACAATAACCAGTCATCACACTGAACGCACAATGCACTTCTGGGAAATTAAATCTGTTTTCCAACAGTCATTACTAACAGGAGAGGTTAGTTCCAGAGAGAGGAGACTTCGGTCTTGTCTTGTGGTTAGCTGAGCTACACAGATTATTAACTACCTTGTTTATGCTGCTGTAAGAAAAGCTGATAATAACCGTTATGAACACAGTAAACTGAGCATAATCAATACTTGTGGACCTAATGGCTTCATCAGAGGTGTACTGTGGGGACTTCACTATATATAACTCCCTTCAGAGCCTTGACCTAGATGCCTATGATCTACACTGCTGCCTGTGTATCTGATATGTATCTGATATGTATATCAAGCAGGAGCATGGATCTGGGTACAGGACATGTCCCTACCAATGTTGTAAGAGTACCGTGTGTTTAGGGGAATGGAATATTTGTGGCTGATTTGGTCTCTACCAGTGTTGAAACCAAACCAACACATTTGAGACGAACAAAAATATGAATTCAAGGCCCCTAGTTTTGTTTCTTTTCTTCTTCTTCATTTTAGTCAACACTGGAAAGCCATGGAAATATGAAACCCCCACTGGCTGAGCCTTCACTGTGCGTTGGTGTTTAAAACTTTAATGTTAAATTTGTCTGTGACCCTCTACTTTAAAAGTGATTTAACTATGCATGGATGGATACTACATTTGCAATTTCTGAAAAAAAAAAAAAAAAACGCTTACAGTATCATCATAAGTCTTAAGAGCAGTTGCACGCCTCATGCTCATGTTAGTTCTTTTCTCCACGATTCCTAAGTTTGACTACATATTTCCCCTCCCTTTATTATTGTCTGTTTATATTCAGGGAGCTTGTCCCTGCCATACCCTCTGGTCGTGTGGCTCCGTGAAAAGGATTCCCTGCTGCTGAATTGAACTGTCACTCCTTACTGAGTCCCTGTTCCACAAACACCTTCTGTTCACCAGGATTTTTATAATATTCATTTAATAACTCAACCGTATTGTGACAATATTTATGTTAGTCAAAATATATTTATTTACTTAGTTGGACAGCACGATTAAATGCTTTTTGTCTTGAAATCAGTCTAGGACTATTTTAAATGCTAAAATTTAAAAATAGTCAGTAGAAAATGAAGGAATGCAGCCTTTTTTTGTAACACAACCTTATCAGCTTGATGTATAGCATGATCCTAAATTTTAAATTACTTTAATGATCAGTCTGTATATCCCTCAGTGTAGTTATAGCTTAGATCATATTTCATGCATTATCTTAACTGAAGAGTGCGTCTTTTGCCATTTCAGATTGGCTTTGAGAGACATATTAAGCAGTTAATTATTTTCGAGGATATATTTCAGTTTCTACCATAGTGTGCAAGATGTACTACCAGTATACAGAAATGGGACACAATCTTTTGTCAGGAATACATTACAGTGATAGTTCACAAATCAATGTGGTTATAACAATGGACATTAGAGAGATATGGTTTAAAGTTGAATTAAAATCTAAATGTCAGCGCACAGAGCCTAAATTCATATTTCCAAATTTATTAGTGTATCTCATTTTCAGTTCAATATCACTTTCACAAAGGTTCACAGTTCTGTTTTACTGAACTGTCTCATTAAGTTGTTCATTTTTTCATACCAACATTACATAAATCTTTTTGTTGGCTGTTATTGTTTCTATACAATAAAGGCAGAGCTTTTCTTAAGCATTTTTCTCCCTCTGGAGGATAACTCTCATATGTTCTTCATCATAGTCTGATGTCTCAGACTTTGTGTGGTTAAGACAGAAACTGTAAGACAGAGATATTCCATTTCGGAAACTGGAAGTTCACTGGCAGGTTACCAGAAATAAGACATGTGCCACTTCATCAGTCATCACATGACAGTCCTCCTGTATAAAACCATGAGACCTGCATTTTAAAAAGAAGCTATGGGTGTATAGAAGGATCGCACAGCTGTTTTTAGATCATCTAGGCATGCCTGAGAAGCCTCAAGCGAAAACAAGAACCCACTGATTCTGAACTGGGTTAAGAATTGGGTATGAAAAATGCCCACAAAATAAATGAAATGGATACTGTTTTCAATGAATCCTGATGTAAACTGTGATCTGCTTTCACTCATATAGTTCTTTAGATGGATACCTCTGCTTAGACAGTGCACTTAAATGCTGCAGTTGTGGCAGATTGGTAGATTGTTGCTGTTTTCAGATTGGCTGAAAGAGAACGTGATTTGTTTGCAATGTGTTTGATAGCTGTATAGTACCTTAAGATGGTGAGTCATGATGCCACTGACCATGTTTTTAAGCAAACATCAGAGAGTGCCGTACACTAATGAATAGGAAAGGTCTTCCACACTAGCTTGTCCTCATAGCACAATAGCATGTCATTTATTACATACATCTTTATTTGTTTTTTTTTTTTCTTGCAGCATGTGCTTCCACCCATTTTGCCTAATTTTGTTTTCTAGGGGACCAACACTGGCCGGGGCGATCGCAGAGCTATTATGGTAGGCCTGTATACTCCCATGATCCATGTCTGTGTTTGTGGTGAATGTGTGGTCTTAACCCTACAACATGCAAGGACTAGAACTTTCTGTCGTACGTTAATGTGATGTGGTGATGTGTCGTCTCTCTCACTGCCTAGACCCAGTATTTAGTCTCTTAAACTGCCACCTTCAAGTGTTTGTTTCTCCAATTTCTTGGTCTATGACTCCATCTGTCAAGAAGACACCTGCAGCAGCAAGGATAAAGACAGTTTTTAATGATGTTACTTCTTATTAATTAAAGAAGACATCAGATAAATCTGTGCTTATCTTTGCTGATGACTCGTTGAACCTCTGTCCGTGGAAAAAAATTGAGAGAGAAGACTTGCACCTTTAAGAGGAGTCATGGGGCTTGGAGGTAGCTTCTAATTAATACAGTCAATGAGAATAAAAAGGTTAACTGCTAACATTTGTTTTATCTCAAGAACAATATGTAATTTGTCCACCTTAAAATGAATTGTTTTTTAAATGTACCTATGAGATGAACATGTCTTCAAAGGAGATATGTTCTTCTTGTAATAATAGTTTTTCTTTCTGGGTATATATACAGTATTATTGCATTTTTTCGGTTTTAACAATGCAGCAAAAATTTGATGTATGAACACACAAGTCATGTTAAGTTGCTGTACTAATGGTATATATGTGTATTTCTTTGAATTCACCAGTGATTTACACTATCTGTTTATATAATTTTTTTTGTTCTATTTTTGCTATGTAATATATAAAATTTCATACCCTTTGCAGTTTTTTTTATCTTTTCTTCTTGTCTATTCTGTCCCCACATAGTCTTAATATCTTTTTTTTTCTATAATAAGATCACGTCTCTGCTTAGATGCCTTTTCTCAAGACTGAACCGGTACAATGGTAACACTGTCCTTATCTCCTGTCACTCTATTTTCAACTGACTGTAGTGGATCAATACTCTTCATATGTGGTGACTATTGCTTTACAATATTAGTCTTGCTATTGCAATGTCCAGCTCCATTTTACTTCTGCTCCTTTCAGAGTAACATCACTTGTATTAACACACCAATAACACTTTGGTTGAACCTCTTCCAGAAGATGTTTGTTGTTTTCTGGTTAATCTGTCTAATGTCTACTAATGGGACAGAGACTGGTACTTACATTTTAAAAAGTGTACATTTTGATTCAGTATTGGGATTCTCATTTCAGAATGAACATTTTGCAATATTAATTATTCCTTCTACAAAACCAGCAGGTTACAGAGGACTGAATATCAGAGAAAATGCTCTGCCATTATGGGTTAACAGGGGATCAAATTGCAGGGGTAGCATGGGTCATTCAATATGGTAGCATGCAATGAGGTGGCTGGGAAACGTGTTGACCCCCTTGAAATGCACTTAAGCTGCAACGTTCATGGTGCATTGCAGAGTACATCTGTCAATACATGACATTTGCTATTGCAAGTCCCCATAAATGTAGGTCCTTGTGTCTGGTTAAACATTTCTTATAGCAACACTGAGCAGTACCTCATTTTTACCTCAATAGAGCACCGGTTCCAGGCAGGCTCTCCTGGGTCACCATGTCAGTTAATCAATGCCTGCTACAAATATTGTGTAGGGAATCTTAAAACCTCTTTTTAAAGGATCATGTCCAGTTTTTGGCCTTGAATTCTTTGCGGGATCCAGGTGTCTTAGCGTTTGCACTGTCTTTAGTGTTCAAGGGGGTAAAACATCAAAATTCTTGTGTGGCTTTGATTCAGTATAAAGGTGTTTTTAATAATTTTGGTAGTCTTGAAAATGGAGGTTGGATAACGAAACAGATCCTTACATGTTCTGAGTAAGTTGACTCTCTGTTTTATATATATATATATATATATATATATATATATATATATATGTGTGTGTGTGTGTGTGTGTGTGTGTGTGTGTGTGTGTACAATTAATTTATTTAGCAGGCACTAATACAGAGTCGTGCACAGACTGTTCCATTTCTAGCACCTTATGTGAAGAACCTTACACCTGGAATTAATAGAATTCATAGAGAAGGAATGAATCCATGGGGCTGCTGAGAAAGGAGAACACTACACGGGATGGGGAGCAGAGAGCACTGAGTCCAAGCCAATCAGGACTGATTTTGAAGTGGTACCACAGCCCAGATGTACTGAAACCAACACAAAGTCAGTCACTTTAATGTGAGATAACTGTGGGGTACCGGAAGATTGGGTTCTTGAAGGGTTTTCATTCCTGTCTGGGCACTGTTGTTGTTCTTTTTGAGAAAGCTACTTAACCTCAATTTTCTTAAATATGGTGTATAATGATAAAACAATCACCATGGAAAGGGAATTTGCCAAGCATATAAATAATCATAATAATGTCACAGCAGGCTATTGTACTGTATTTGCCTCAAGACAGAACCGTAAGCCCTCATAATTTAATAAAGGCAGCTATTATGGCATTTAGCACAGCAATTAAATGGTAACATTTCCTATCTGCGGTTAAATGCCAGGCCCCTAGACTGGTACTTACCTAGCGGTACACTATTCTTCCATCTGGAACTGGGGAAAAGGGGGGCGGCATTGAGCCATGGTCCATATGTGCTGCTGTCAGCAGGCTGGGGAGGGAAGACAGAGCCCAGCCACCACCACGAAGGGCACTGCAGCATAGGGGCGGCCACACTTCACACATGGCTTTGGTAATTAAATGGCATGGACTCTTGTTTTTCAAAGGACCCCGGGGGATGCAGACAAAAGAGGAAAAGGTCCAGCTTGCAATGGATCTGGGTCGTCACTGCCGCCCTCTCTTGTCTCCATACCCGGCTGTGGTCCAGCCCTAGGGGGGTTTTCATTAATTTTCGCACAAATGTCTGCTGCTGGCAATAATGCTTGTATATGACATGACATTTAGATGGCCATTCAAGAGCCCGCATTTGGTAAAACCAACTTATTAATAACACCATTTCATTAAGCCTGCAATCCTCTATTACTGTGGTGTCTTGCATTTCACGATTGTCATTAGTAGCCACCGAGTCAAATCATTTCATCCTCACATTTTTCTGCTTTTTTACATCTCATGTTAGTTTACGGCACCCTTTAACATTTATTCCTGTGGACAATAAGCCGTATTTGTAATTCTGTAGTCAGATTGCTGTTAGCCAAACTTTCTGGCAAGCTGCAACATTTAGTGGGTTCCATACTTCTGCATTTGTTAACCAGATGTGAATCATAACTTGTTTTAATCCTGTAACATTTAGGGACGTAAGCATTGTGCCAAAACAGTGGCAAGGAAAGAATTGCACTTTTCACTGCCCCTAAGGAGCAGAAAACAAAAAGTTGCATCTAATTCACATAAATAGCGGCCTTGCGGATGACGCAGCAGAGCACATCGCCCGGGGGCTGAAGAACTGCTCATGCAAATGTGCAGTGAAAATTTGGCTTGTTTAACCTTTGCTTTCCTGGGGAATTTCGAGCATTTTTTTGCGGAAATCTTGAAAGAAATTAGTAAAGCTCTCGACATCATTACTTATCAGACGAGTGGTTTCTTTGTGCTTAGATCATGATATCTGGCGTCATTCATAGGAAGGTGTTCTCTTGAACTGATTACTCATCCAGCCATGTCATAGAAATCAAATAACCAGAAAGTTTCCAATCACCCAGCAATACTGAATTGACTATTGAGACAAATTATGTAATATTTTTATATTTGCATAATGGTTTGGCCTGGTAGCATCACATCCTTTTTTTGTAAATCTTACTAAAATGTTTTACATGTGATCAGGCTCTGGAAATGTCAGAATGTTGAATCATTGGTATGCCATCTGGTTATTCATTATGCAAAATTTGCATGGGTGTCCTTGTCAATGTATATTGAATATGATTATAACCATGGAGGAGGAAAGCAGATGTGAACTATCGTTAGATACTGGGTTTCAGCTGGACTTTCATTTACTCTTTCAATATTATTATTTAAATAAATCATGTACCCAAAAAAAATAAAAAAAATCCTGGAACAAGTCTATCACAGCTATAATCAGACAAACTCTGGAGTCTGTTGTGGTATTAATACCATTAATAAGAACATGTATTTAATAAAATCATAATACCAGTAAAGTAGTTCATAGATATATGCAAATATTTGCATTATAGATACTTCTGTCAAACAGCAAATTTTTGCCATAGACAATGTTTTTATTAGACCAAATAGTTATGAGATCATCTCGTTACTGGCTTGTGGGATACATTGATTCTGTTATGTGTAGGTGTAACAGAATTGTAATATACCTAAAGTGATTGTAAGAATATCACTTCTGGTGAAATATCAAGTAGAAAGTACAGTTGCAATTAGTGAAAGCAAACATTAGGCCTACAGTTTTATTGGTTTTTTTATATATATAGCGCACAATCATTGTCAATGTCATCATCATTACCATAGCCTGTATTTTTCTGACTTAGCTGACTGAATGTAAAGGTATGTGTTGTGTTTTAAACCTACAGCTCTATGACCTAATGACTGCAAGAGGGGCAGCATTGTTGGGAGCTTGAATCCCGCCTCTGCTCTGTGTGTGTGGACTTCCGATGTTCTCCCAGCAGTTAAACAGAACAGTCTCCAGATCAGGGATTATCAAATTTTTTGATCAAAGATCTACATCAGATTTTCGTTTAAAGTCAGAGGTCCAGAACAATTTTCAACAACAAAACAACATTTTGTGAACTAAAATGAATTGACAATGACTTTCGATATAGGCGTCAATGTATAACCATAATGTGGTGGGATTATGATGAGTTATGTGTGTGCAAAATATAGTGGTTCTGCATTTAGTTTTTGCATTTCACACCACATTAAGCCTTTTTTATGTTAACCGTATAGATTCATAAGGTGCATTATCGGCTGGGTCTGGATTAACATGCAGTTCAGTCCACAACCAGACCTTGGTCCAGACGTTGAGAACCCCTGCTCTAAACTGAGCATTGTATATGACTATGAGCGTGCATGTGTTTGTGCAGGTACCCTGTGATGGATTGGCATCCCCTGCAGGGTGAACCCCAGCCTTGTGCCCTTTGCTGTCTGGGATATACTGTACTGAGATGAACACGAAAAATTCTCGTTAATCAACCCCTTTAGTTGTTCAAACACTTACACTTGTTCTGCAGAAATTGACAATAGCTGTCAGACATTCCCGAAAAAGGTTCTGTTCTAATCATTCCTGCTACCCTCTCTCATACTGTACACCCGCTTTCCCCCATCGCAGCTAAATGAGCTGACATGAAGCCCTTGACTTGGAGAAACCCAATTTACAGAGCTGACTTACCCGTTAGGTAGCTGACAGACTGCTTGTGTTTGACAGGGCACTTTTGGGTGTGACTATAAAGGGATTCACTTCACTGAGGCTTTCTCAGAAGCAACTAATTGGCCCCTGAGTCAAAGCATGTTGATGGAAATGCTTTATTCTTTTTGTTAATTATACTACAGTAGAGAGGTTGTGTTTTTGTATTTTTGCACCCAAGTATAAATGTAGCTAATGGTCGCTGCTTTTAGAAGTGATGCATTGCAGGCAGTTAGTCTAAAAAGCAACACAAATGTCTCCTGAAAATTCAAAGTGAAAGAAAAGCACAGAATGTATTTGTTATACAGATTAGATACAGAGTACAAAGTTCTTTTTGTGATTGTAGCCAAGTATAATGGAGACGTATAAAAGTAAGGTTCATTTGCAGTGTATTTTGGGGTTGTATGTTTTATTACTTTTTATCAATTGTTGTACAAAAAGTGCCATATATTTGTTGTTCATTGATGTTTACTTATACCTAATTTAAATTCATTCTCTTCTGTACCATAAGCTTTTACCCATCAACCATTGTGGATTTCACCATCTTTTTTTTTCCTTAAACAAAAACTACATATAAAGAATTTGCCTTTTCAGTTGCTCAGCTGTCAAACTGTGGGGTTATCCAGAAAACCCCTGTGACCTCACTGTTTATGCCTCAAAGGAGAAATATGCGAAAAAAATGTAGCCATGGGAACAGCATTATCTATGTAGCTGGAAGGAGTGTAAACATAAAATGGCCCTTTACTGTATAACAGCTCTGGATGCCGTGGGAATATCGGAGCAGTTTGAAAGTTTGACTTGTCTATGTGTTGCATTTTAAAATGCAACGACTATATTCTGAATCAGGATGATACAGCAGTTGAATGGAGTTAATCTGTTTAACACCCTTAGTAATGCATCTTGAGAAGCACAGACCAGCAATCCATTGTACAATCCATGTAAAATGCAACAGACTTGGTAAAGCACTTTCTCTCTGTCGAGTAAATCCTGAAGCCAACTGCTCGATCATTGGCTGCATTGCCATTCTATCATAGTAAAATAAACGTAAGAAAATGCAACATGTTACATAACAAAGCAACATTAGAATAAGTATGTGCAGGTGTATGTAATAAATGGATTTCTATGGCAGCAGAAAAGGTATCATTCCCAAAATGTTATTGAAGAGACACTCCAGGTAAATTGTACTTAAGAAATCTTCTACAGCGATATCACTCTTTTCTGTTGGTCCCACTCTTCCTCTAGCTTTCCATTTCCGACTTGCACTGCATCTTTCAGGAACATGTTTTTAATATTTGTAACAGAATGTGTTATATCTACAAACTGTAATATGAAATAGCTTGTTCCTGGAGGACAGCTTGAGAACAAAGGGACTGTAATTACAGACAGCCAGCAGGAATGCATCTTCCCTTTAGTTTAGAATCATATGAAGTTCCTCCTATCAAGAAGAAAGGAAATATACCATGGTTGGGAATGTTTTGTGTATATATCACCTCTTTCATCTTTTCATTAAAAACTATTTTGCCATCTATTATACACTTTAATTTAGTCTAGGGATCATACTGGGTTTAAACTCTGCTCATTATATATTGTAACGGTCTGACAAATGTTTTTCCACCAAAAGTGACCTGGGTCATTCACTCTGTTAGAAAGTTTTATTATCATATCGCTTACTTCTCAGAAAAAGCTGTTTTTGTTTTGACTTAAACTGTGTGTTCGAAATGCAGTATAGACAAGGACAAAACAGAAATGGCACAGGAAGCTAGCCAGCAGAAAATATCATTTACATTGCCTATGATGGAGATGCTTAGTGTGTGTCTTCCCAAGTTTTGGCAGATCACAAAGGGACGAGAGTGATGGCAATTTCAAGTCCAAATATCTTGAGCTCAAAAAGTGCAGGCCTACAAACAATGTGGGTTCTTAATCTTTCTATCAATCAATCCTTCCTACTGTACTGTACGTGTTTGATTTATCTGTATATATAAGTCTGCTTGTACATTCCCTTGGCTGTTTTTCAATAATAATATTTCCTTGCATTTTTATAGGTAATCACCAACATAACTATAACCATCTGCCACTTACTAGTCCAACCTGTACACCTAAGAATGGTAAGAAAATAAGTTGACTGAATGATATTTTGTAAATTGGGATATAAGGTTAAAATAGCAGTGTGTTTATATTAAAATACTTGAATAGAAATACCTCAGTACCATGGTAGTTCTATTTTGCTTCATACTTTGCATGATGCCACTTTTACATCTCCCTGTATATAAATCTGTACACGTAACTTCACACGTACTGTGTACAGCATTACATTGCTTTTTTTTTAACTGTTATTTTGTAATTATATTGTACTTTTGTTTTAAAACTGATTCTGTTCTACATTGCTCTTATTTTGGTATTTCATTATTTGCATAGTCTCTGGAGTGTTTCAAAGCTACATGGTATACAGTACCTATTTAACTGTGCACAGTATGTGACAAATAAACCAAAAAAGGGAGAAAGGGTGTATCATTAACAGCCTGCTTTTTGATATTTCGTAAAAAAAAATTATTGAAAAAGAAATAAAGGATCCTTTATTATAAGAAATGCAAAACAGAACTGTCATTGTACTGAGGTATTTATATCAATTACTTTAATAGAAATTAACCAGAACATGCAAAAATATACACATTTGACTTGTCCAGCAGGCAGATCAAAATCGTTACAAAATTGTTACTTTTTTTTTTTTTAAGTGAATGCATAACTTGCCGTATACATTAATGTAGAGTTCATTTCACCTAAAAGCATTTATATTATCCAGATTTGGATTTTCTTTTCTAAAGGCATTGCATTTATAGAATTTAGAAGGAGACATAATTACATTTTATATTAGAACGAGATAACATCTAAAATTAGATTTGTAGCTTTTCAACAGTACCAATACAATGAGTGTGCAGTGTACATGAGAGCATGGTTGCTGTATGGTTTTTGAGTGTTGTAGAACCCACTGTAACATCTCTTGTATATTTGAAAGCCTTTCACCACATACTGCATATAGGTCTGATCCAGACTGTGATACACCTTTACTTGTCCCCCACAAAAAAAAAATCCAAAACTTAAATGCAGAATAACATGAATCGTAAAATACTGGATCTGAAATTCTTTACTGAAATCTTTCAAAACCCCACCTACTCCTCTGGTTTGTTTACATAATAAAATGGTTTGCAGTGTTGAAATTGCCACTGGCAATGTGTGATGGGTATCAAGTACAAACAACCTACATAATTTATAATATATACATTATATTGTTGTTTGACTTCTTGATATAATCTTTTTGGTAAGAACGTGCAACCTTATGCATTTTTTTTGTATTGTGCTTTTCCTGATTAAATCAGCTTCATATGCTTAATTCAAGATTTCTTATTATGTAAATAACACCCTGTTTATTATGTAAAAAGCACCCTGTTATTATGATGAAAAAGAAAGGGAAAAAAACTTAACCAAATGTGATTAAGACAAGTTTCTTACAAACGTCTATTACCTTACAGACAGAAAAAGGCAATATATCTGTAGTTTTTCTAGTTTACGAATTTAAACTGAGGAACAGTATCCTAAAAAATAGTCCCCAAATCCCACTCCAATTGTATTTTTTATTTGTTTTCCATACTTTTACAATATATGCAGTCACAGTATCCTAAAGAATTGACTTTTTATGTTCAACAGTGGGCAGCACAAAATATGCACAGGCATTTTTCTGCCTGTTCTGATTTTCTTCACTGACTGTGGCAAATTACCTGAAGAACATTTTTCACCATAGAAGAATCATTATTAGTGCCAGTAGTAATTTATCTTTAATACGCATATAATGTTTCATAATTTTTTTACATTCAACTCGAATGCTTTTTTTAGCATTTGGCTGTGAAAAACAATATTGTTAATTAAAATGAATGCTTAATTAAAACACATGATTTAATTAAGCCAGAAGAAACTACAATATAAGAAATTTTTGATGAATTTCACATTTTCAACTTGGAGTATTATTTAATTTAATAATACATACAGTTAGCTAGCTGGTGGCACTGCCAGATCATAGCAGTAGGCTGGGGTTCCGATCCCACCCCTGCTTTCTGTGTGGCCTTGGCATGCTCTCCCTTGGCACGGTGTTCTCTGGGACACTCTGGCTACCTCCCGCAGCTCAAAGACATAACTGAACTGCTGTCTGTGAATTGCCCATGATGTGTGTGAATGTGTGTGTGTTTTTGTGCTCTGTGAAAGACTGAGTTCCCATTTCAGGCTTGTGCCCTATACTTCCCAGTCAGTCCATCCATGACCTGTACTGGATCAATGGCTAAGTGGCTGATAAAGTTAACAACTGAACGCCTGTAGCAGTCTCCCTCTTGTTGTGTGTGTGTGTGTGTGTGTGTGTGTGTGTGTGTGTGTGTGTGTGCGTGTGTTTGGATTAGATTTTACATTAGTAAAATAATTATTTAGACAAAATGATTACCTTGCTTACCTGTTTGGTTTTAGATTATAATGTAAAATACAAGCAAATGCAAATAAAATACAAATACAATATGATTGTTGGGTAAGCATTTGAGCTGATGGAATCTAACTATTCTAAATTATCTGCTAATCTCATTGTGGCGATTTGATCCATGAAAATCCATGAAAGTCCATGATACCTACATTTGGGGTCCCAGCATCCTAAGGATGTAAATAAGGTTAATGAAACTATTGGCCTAATACCCTCTAAAGGTCATGACATTTCCAATCCACTCTGCGCATTTTCTGCTTGGATAAGAAACTGAAGTGCTGTACAGTAAAATGTTCTCCACTGTCATTTTTAGATTAAATTTTACTCTTAGCCTTGAGCGTCAAATGAGCTATTCCTAAGTAATTTTTAAAAGTATATGACAATATGCTTAGCCGCATCTACATTTCGTCGCACAAATCGAATACAATTGAAGTAAATTTTCTAAAGCACATTCATATTTCTAAAAAATAAAATGCCTCATTGCGAGCATTTCACCCAAAAAGTTCCAGGTATGAATAAATTCATCTGTTTTTTGAATCCAGAAATGAAGGATTTTAATCTAGCCAATTGTCCCCACAAAACCAAAAAGACATGTGTCAATAATATGATACTACCGATGAATCATGGATTTCACTCACCGATACCAGGAACGTAAGGAAGGAGACACTGCTTCCCCTTTTCTACCATTGTTCTTTTTTTAGGTCTTGACGTAATAAGGATAGTAGTGGGTCCTCACAGTCCCATTTTTGTTCATAACCTTGACAGTTATTTATCTGCTGGGGGGTAAAGACTTTAATATGACACACTTTCAGCATGAAAATCAATTTGTAAAACATTTTAAGTGAATCACAGAGAGAAATTTCATTAAAATATTAATGGAATCCATGAAAAGTTATGGAAAATCGATTTAAGGAGGTTTTTTCCATTAAAAAAACTGACAAAAAAAAAGAACTGTTAGTTCAAAACTGTGGATAAAGTTTGATGTAACTGGTGTCTTTCCACTGAGAAACTACAAAGTATTTTTTGTGAAACCATGACAACAAAGTAATTCTGCAGGCTGCAGTTACCACCGAACCAGCACCGTAGGTACCAAAATCGTAAGCAATAACATTGAGGTGAACACTGAGGAAATCTGAAATAACTTCCATGTATATATAATAAACAACTAGTTAATTTTTTTTTTTTTAAATATTCTTGGGCTTGTTTGCTTGGAAAATAGTAAAAGCAGGTAAGGAAAACATAGAGGCATTATGTGCAGAATTAATGTTTGCCAGTGAATTTAGAAGATATCCTGGGTGATGTGGTATTTGAGTGTAATCGGTCCAGGGTGCCAGGATAAGGCAAGGGATGACTTTATTTTCAGATGTGCCATGAATTTAATGGATTTCCTGCGGCCACTGGCACGTAACCCACGCCTGTCCCTTTCGTTAATGCGCCTGGATGTCATATTCCCGTTTCTGCTGCACTCTGCCTGCTTTTAAACCCGCTTCACCTGAGCCCCGTCACCCACACCCCCTAATCTGTCCTATGTCTGAATGACGGACATTTGTCCTGCGGGGGTGGTGCCCCTCACCAATGTCACAACATGTCACGATGCTCCCCTGCTGAGCACAATGCATGAGGAAGACAGATGCAGGAAATAATCACATGTAAACCAAGTTTTCTGCATGTGGATGCCTTTTCTACCTGCCCCCCCATTGCCAAATGGCAGTGAATCCCTCACGTCCTGCCCTGCCCAGTCTTTCTAGGCATTGATTGTGATCTAATTGTGATCTTCTGTTCTCTTCTGTTTCCCTGCAGAGAGCACTCGGATGAACAGCATCCTTACCTCGCAGACAGAACCATATGATCTGTCCTTCTCGCGCTCGTTCCAGAGCCTGTCCCACCTGCCCCCCTCCTATGAGTCAGCAGTGAAATCAGACCTAAATAAATACTCCTCTCTCAAAAGATTAAGTAAGTGTGCCCTACCTTCATTTTACAAACTTTAATATATTATTTGATAATTATTCCTCAAATTTAAAAAATACACAGAAAAAACAACCAATATGCAATAATTAAGATTATAATAATGAAACTATTAATTTCTATGTCTACTACAAAATTCCACTATGTCTGTTACAAAAATGAACTGTAGTACCATATGATACAGTTCAATTTAGACATTGTTAATCATGGATATAACACAAAGTTATCCTTCAGTCCAAACTGATAAACATGCAATAAATTCAAACTTACTGCCAAAGTTTTGTGTGGTTTTGGATGATAAGTTCACATAAAATAAGCAGCACCAACCTTAGCTTCTACTAGGCAAACAAGCAATATATTAAAAGGTATTCGCCACAGCTTTTCTGCCGTTGTGCAAATGTAAGGGTGCTTATATAATTTTGGTGCTTTAAGATTCTGCAGCGTTTGTTTGTTTTGCTCAATATTATATATTCTGATTAGACATTTTTTTCTCTTACTGCAATGCTTTATGGGAATCAATTTTGAAGTAACCTCTAGGTGGCTTTTATATCAAAAGGAAGGAGTTACAGTATATTTTAACAAAGTAACAATAATAGCAATATTTCCTCTGTCCAGAATTGTTAAATGAATGACAAAATGAAAAAAGACTGTTTATGAATTCATATAAAATCCATCCATCCATTAACTACCGCTTGTCCGGGGTTCGGGTCGCGGGGGTAACAGCTTCAGGAGAGATACCCAGACCTCCCTCTCCCCAGCTACCTCTACCAGCTCTTTGTGGGGGGATGCCGAGGCGTTCCCAGGCCAACCGAGAGATATAATCCCTCCAGCGTGTCCTGCCCCGGGGCCTTCTCCCTGTAGGACATGCACAGAAAACCTCTCCGGGTAGCCGCCCAGGAGGCATCCGCACCAGATGTCCAAACCACCTCAACTGGCTCCTTTTGACGTGGAGAAGCAGTGGTTCTACTCTGAGACCCTCCCGGATAGCCAAACTTCTCACCCTATCCCTAAGGGAGCGCCCAGACACCCTGCGGAGAAACCTCATTTCGGCCGCCTGTATTCGCAATCTCATTCTTTCGGTCATTACCCATGGCTTATGACTATAGGTGAGGGTAGGGTCGAAGATGGACCAATAGATCGAGAGCTTTGCTTTCCGGCTCAGTTCTTTCTTAGCCACGACGAACCAGTTAAGCGCCTGCAAATCTGTAGATGCCGCTCCGATTCATCTGTCCAGCTCCCGATCTCGCCTACCCTCACTTGTGAACAAGACCCCAAGATACTTGAACTCCTCGACTTCAGGCAGTACCTCTTCCCTGACCTGAAGTGGGCAATCCACCCGTTTCCGGCTGAGAACCATGGTCTCGGACTTGGAGGTGCTAATCCTCATCCCCGCCGCTTCGCACTCGGCTGCGAACCGCCCCAGAGCACACTGGAGATCCCCAGCAGATGAAGCCAACAGGACAACATCGTCCACAAAAAGCAGCTAGGCAATCCTGAGGCCACCAAACTGGACACCCTCAACACCCTGGTTGCGTCTAGAAATCCTGTCCATAAATATTATAAACAGGAGCGATGACAAAGGGCAGCCCTGGCAGAGCCCAACCCGCACTGGGAACACGTCCGACTTATTACCGGCAATGCAGACCAAGCTTCTGCTTCGTTCATACAGGGACCGAATTGCCCACAACAGTGGACAATTCTGCAGCACCTCGGGGAACCCGGTTGTAAGCCTTTTCCAAATCCACAAAACACATGTAGACTGGATAGGCAAACTCCCAGGCCCCCTCCAGTACCTTTGCAAGGGTATAAAGCTGGTCC